AGCAGCACTCTTTCAGACATTCTGACTGTTTGATAGTCTCAGTAAGATTTCTCATTTTTGAAATGTGGTGAATTTTGTCTCTAGTTATATATTTTATTTTGATCAGACTTGAGATAAAATTTATCAAATTTAAAAAATATAAAGATCAAAACTACTTATTTTAAAATGTAGAGACTAAAACCAATTTTGACCGAATCTTGATGACACATTTTATCAGTCTTAAAATTAAGTGTCAAAGCATGTTTTTGAAACCAAAATTGTTTGTTACTTTTTCATAGGGCTATATTGGAGTAAAGCCAGGGTGGACCCGAGTTAGTTTTCCTTACTACATGAGTGAAGAGGATTTTGAGTACATTCAGAAAGCCATAGAGTTTTTGGCTGTGTATGGCCAACGATTCATTCCTCTTTATAGCTTCAATTTGATGAATGGGAGCTGGAGATTGAAGACAGAGAAATTCGAGGCACTAACCAAGGAAAGCAATTGCAACTTTCCTAGTCATGATATTGGAGTTAAGGTGACGAGAAGGGATGAATCATACTTTGATGCGGCTAAGTGTATTGCTAGTAGCCTCCCTAAATTCCCTTCTCAAAATATATTCCAGGGGAACGTGGATCCCAATATATTCGGCTTTAGAGTTTAATTATATTCTCAATAGTACAGCCACATCATGTGTTCAATTTCGATGTACAAATATTTCACGATACTTCCCATTGCCTTTGTACGATGATTGAGATTTATACTTCCCGACACCCCTTCTGGTCTCTAGATTTTAAATACCAAGAAGTTGTTTGTTCATTTGTCACTTATGATTTTTAATAAAAACAACATTCAATTCTACCTTGACATGAAGTACCGAAGTGTTACTTTATTTTTAAGTTGATATAATAGAAAGAAGGTATACCTTTTTATTAAAAAAGAAACTAATAGTGAATCTTTATAAAAAAAAAATAATAGTGAAATATAGTATTATAATTAAATTGATGTTTTCATAATTAATATATTTAATAATTAAATTTTTTTTACTGTAAATAACACTATACTTAGGTAAATTAGGTGAATTGTGAGGATCTTTGGCTAGAGATTCAGTTGATTCTAAGAAGAAAAATGTATATAAAATTTCTGTTTTAAGCAGAGCTTTAGAAACTCTTGTTCTCTAGACCCTAAAAAAAGATTTTAAAGAGATAGAGTCTAACTCTTTAAAATTTTTCTCCTTTCCTTCTTTTAGATCCTTCTTGAGGGTGGGTGTGTAGGTGGTGATTCGAAGTTGAAGTTGAAAATCTTTGGTATAGAGTTCATTTTCTTCAGGTTCAGGGTGATTATTCTCTCTCCTTCCTGTGCTTCAATTTTGATTGGCTCGGAGTTGAGATAAGGGGAGTTAGGATTGTTCTATTTAAGACGTGTGGGTTATGCTTGAATTGAAATGAAGAATGAGGGTGGGTATGTTGGTGAACTACATGATTTTGGTTAAGAATGTTGAACTCGAGTGAATTGGGTTCATGAAGGTGAAATTGAAGGATTATATTGATTTGTGGTTACATGTAGTTTCTTATGCCAAATTTGAGTTGTGGGTGTTACAAATGTATGATATGATGCTTTACATGCTTTGGATTTCCTGATTTTCAAGTACTTGGGATGATTTGTGAAGCTTGCATTTGTAGATTTTTGGTGCCATGTTGAGTGCGCCTTTGTGGCGTTGGAAAAACCAAAGGTCTTTGACTCATTCATGTCAAGCGCAGGATTGGTGGCGTCAAACGTGAGGAGAGGGATTCATCGCAAATTGAGATGACGTCGAATGTGGTTTGAATGACGTCAGACGGGATAGCATGGAAAAGTCTCTGATTTGGTGATGTTGGACCCTAATTGGCTGCCACTAAGTGCAATCAAGATAAATGCTCCTTGTCTGGACGATGTTAGGTGCCACTAAGGTAACGTCAGACAAGAGTCAAACAAAGACTCTCTAATTGATATGAGGTCGAATGTGGGTTTTGCCATGCCAAACGTGAGATCCCATGTGGGTCTCCACCTTGGTCATGTCAAACATAGTTTCGATGGCTCAACACCATGAGTGAGGCAAAGAAATCCTTACCTCAAAGGTGTCGAATGTGAGATGTTGCGACAAGTGCGGGATGCCTGGATGGAGGATGCATTTTTGGAATGTTGTACGATGAACACGAGGTAGATGTATATAAGTTCTATTGCATGTCAAATGAAGTATGAAAATTGTAGTTATATGTATATTGATTAGATGTGACATATGTAGATGTTTATATGGTATTGGACGATGATGAACATATGTCTATTGTACATATGTATGATATTGTTGATTTCTACATATATTGACTGAATGTGATGTATATAGACGATGTACGGTTAGGTGTAAAGGTTGAAAATGTGATCATTAAGACATTTTGGCTAACTTAGGACTTGAGGAGAGAAAATTATTTTTGAAAATTAAAGATCCCACATAAGGAATCTTGGAGTGGTGATCGGATAAGCTACTATTGAAAAATCCTCCTTGAGTAGTTGTATCTCTTAGAGTGAGTTTTGAGGTGTATATAGTCTCTTCTAGGTCCTTAGCAAGCGGTTGAGTAATGTAGGAAGTCAAGGGATACAATCCTTAACCAAATATTTGGAAAGGTTGCGTGATTCCTTAAGGTTGACCAGTGAGCTAACTCCATATGTGACTTGATAACACATGTTAAGGTTGTAGTATGTTTATATCCAACTATACCATTCTTTACTATAGAACTAGACTTTCTTAGTACAAGTGACTAAATCTAAAAAAATATGTTGTTAAGATTGATGATCCAATTCAGTTGATGGATCTATCTAGTCTAAAGATGATCGGGTTGATTCGATAGGGTCGAGCCACTTAGACTATTCTATTGCGTTAACAAATTTCTATAGACAAATGCATGACGATGCATTGGTTGAAATGTTTGCATATGATGTATGTTATAATGTGTTCATATGCATTGTTGGATGTCTTATTTGACGTGATTTGAATGAGATACATGTTTGCTAAGGAGTGTTTAACTTGCATGTATGGTTACGGTATGATGTTGTATGATATATAATTATTTTTATGCTTACATGTTTTTGAAATTTAGTTTATCTTTATGTTTTTCATATAATTTGAATTGCGATGATCATATGTTATATGAGAGTAGATTGAAGATATCGATGCTTAAAAGTTGGTGATACCTTTTGTTGGTATTGGTGCTACTTGTTATAACTTGTATAACCACACTTAACCGATATTAGAACATGAGATTATTTTGAAATTACTGTATGCTTGTATATATATCTTGTTTATATTAATAAGAGTGCTTTACTTTTATATTCACGTCTTATATTATATATGATAGATTTCTTCCTTAGTCCAATATGTTATAGTAATATAATTTTCACTACTAATAATAATTTTATATAATATAACGATCATGATAGGTCGCTACAAATTAATTAATATTAATATGTAAATAAATAATCTAGTTTCACTTTAACTCAATTATTTAATTATTGATAAAATATAATTAAAATATCAAATAAAGATTTTTAAAATTTTAACATTAATTTACATAGTGATTAGTATTTTAATAAAACAAATATTTTAATTATAATCTCAATTTCAATGTTAGTCAAGAAAAATTAAATGTTAAATAATGAAATTAAGAAAGTTGTTTTAGTATATTTTAAAAAAATAATTAATAAGAAAAAGTACTAATTTGATTTAATATAAAATTTAAAAAATGTGGGCCGAATGAGTTTTTTTCTTTTTTATACTTTTCATGTTTAAAATGAACACGGACCTCACCTTTGTCGTCTTTTCACTCTGAAAAAGTAACGACGACCTTCACTGCAGTAGCGTTGTCACCGCAACAACCATCGGCAAAACGCCGTCGTTTAAAGAAGCCACGTAGATCCACTGCGATACTCGATTCAATTCCACGCTACCGTACAATTAGAAGAATCAGGTTCAAAATTCCATCGCAATTTCGTTATCTTTATTTCCTTCAATTCAAGCTTGCCTTCCAATTTCCAGGCTAATTCCTCAATCGTTTCACCCGTAGCTTCAGTTTCCGGTGCTCTAGAAATTATAGTTAGATTTTTGCTCCGATATTTTATTTGCATGACTGCTGCAAAGGTTTCTGCTCAGTGTCTTGGTGCTCGAGTGTTGCACTAGTTATTCGAATTGGACAATTGGCAAGAGGGTAATATCGATTTGTGAGAGGATTAGGGTTTTCACTAAGGTTTAAGTGATTTATAGGGTTTATATATAAAAGGCTAGCCAGTGGCAGTAGCATTAACACGGTACAGTTGTTCTGAGTTTGATCCAATCGAAATTGGGGTGTCCCTTTGATGATGGTAGATTGAGGATGGTGAGGTTTTTAGGGTTGACTCTTGGCTATGCAGAAGAACCCCGAGAAATAGCGTCAAGGTCTAACCTGACCAGTGAGTCTGGTGAAAATGGGTGGCTCATCAGATTCTTTGACTCGGCGTTCTTCTGCGAGTGGATTGCTGTTAGCTACCTGTACAAGCATGATCATGCTGGGGTGCGTGATTATCTCTGTAATAGAATGTATACTCTTCCTTTGCAAGGTGTTGAGAGTTATTTGTTCCAGATATGTTACATGATGATACATAAGCCTAGTCCGTCCTTGGATAAATATGTGATAGATGTGTGCTCGAAGTCACTTAAGATTGCTTTGAAGGTACATTGGTTCTTGATGGCGGAGCTTGAGGACTCTGATGATAATGAAGGGATTAGGAGTATTCAGGAGAAGTGTCAGTTCGCTGCCACGTTGATGGGTGAGTGGCCACCTCTAATACGGCCTCAAACTGAACCTCCTAGTCCTGGAGGCAAAAGCCAAGTTTTAAATAGGTTACTATCATCGAAAAATCGATTGTTGTCACTAACATCCTCACCGCCTTCTCAAAAGTCTTTATCATTTTCACCTTTCTCTGGAAACAATTTGCAAGAGGATGGCAACCCAGTGTCTCCTGATGAGAACAGGATATTTAAGAAGTTAATGCCAGGTCAGAAGGTTAGGGATGCTTTGCTTTTTCGGAAGTCAGTGGACAAAGATGATGAGGCTTCTGAAAAGGATGGTTTTTTCAAGAGGCTTTTGAGAGATAGCAAAGGTGATGATGAACTGGGCCAAAAAATTCGTGATGCATTACTGTTTAGGAAGTCATCTGTGAAAGACGATGAAGACTCTGAAAAAGATAATTTCTTTAAAAGGTTCTTAAGGGACAGTAGAGGTGACGATGAAGACTCAGAAAAGGATGGTTTCTTTCGGAGACTCTTAAGAGACAGTAGAAGTGAAGATGAAGATGTAGCTTCAAGCTCAGAGGGGTTATTTAAGAGATTGTTTCGTGATAGCAAAAATGATTCTGAGGACAGAATACACACTAAAACAATAGAAGATGAAGATAAAGAGGGTTTTTTCCGAAAGTTTTTTCGGGAGAAATTTGAAGATAGGAAGGATGGGAGTGATAGGAATGAAAACAGAGATGTTGCTAATTTTGAAGAGAAAAATGGCAAACCTGCTGAAGAGGATGAAAAGGAAGGGTTTTTTCGGAAATTATTCAAGGATAAATTTGAGGACAAGAAAGATACAAATGATAAAATTGAAGAGGCTACTACCAATGGTGAGGAAGAAGAGTCTTCTGAGTTTTCCTTGTTCAAAAGACTATTTCGTGTGCACCCTGAAGATGCTAAAAGTAGTCTGGCCAATGAAAACAGCAATAGTGGTGGCTTATTTGAAAGTAGTCCAGGTACAGAGAATTTTTTCCGTAAATTGTTCAGAGACCGTGACCGATCAATTGAAGATTCAGAA